TTAGTATTACTACATTACTACTTAGTAGTCATACAATTCTTTTCTTATCACCTGTTTACTATTATTTGCTGCTTTGCCTTTCTTCTGTATTCCATAGTATTATTTAAAAGGGATTTTTGTCCTTTCTACTTGCATAAATTATCATTTTATTCTTCTTTTTATTTCTGTGTCATTCTTCTCCGCAGGAACCTGACCCTCCCTCCCAAAGTTATAAATATGGTGAAGAAGTTCTGAGAGGCCATGTGGACAAGGACTTGATTTTGTCAGAGCTGGGAAATAACATGTGCTCCACATTTATCTTGGTGTGTGGTACACGCTCGTTTGAGATGGACACATTGAAAGCTTTGAAAGAAATAGGGGTTCCAAATGACAATGTTCATAAATTTTGATACCTGTGTGTGTTTGTCACCTAAGGGTTCTCTTTATTCCAGAACATAGACTAATAGACACGAGCATAGAATAACTGAGCTCACAACAGGGATCTCGGACAAGAATTGATTTATTCATCTCGCCACTGTGCACGTCTCCAATTGACGGGAGGTAACTCCCTTAAACAGGGATAGGACAATAGGCTGGTTATGTCCCCTACAAAACACCTTCTCGTTTTAGTATAATGTAATACCTAAACATCATAATTAAACAGAGGTGCTTAGCACATCAAATATGTCAATCTTTCATCAGTGACATCAAATTTTTTTCAACAATTTCACTGTGGTAATTATACTTTGTAATGATAATAATAATTGAGGAAGTGTGCATTTTTGGCTATCTCTATTTCTTGTCTGGCTGACCTTTGTTCTTCGAGTTCCTGCTTGACCTGTTCGTGTTGCCTTGCTCTTTCAACGGCCTTTTTCAAGGTTAAATCACCCTCAAGTTGAAGCTTTTCTGACAACTCCTTATTGTTGAGACCTAAGACGAGTCTGTCCCTGATGGTCTCCTCTTTTTCCCTAAACTCTGCATGCTCATACAAACTACATATATATATACTGTTCTACACTTTCACCTTCCTTCTGATTTCTTCTGTAAAATGTAGCACGGATGTGAATAACATTTCTTTTGGGAACGAAATATTCTTTCAGCTTTATCAACACTGTGTCAAAATTCTTCTGCTGTTGTAGACAGTTTGTGGAATGCGAACAGTTCAAGTGGTTTGAACGACATTGTCTCACGTACATGCCAAAACTTTTCTGCTTCCCTGGTTAAGCCGACTTTCTCAAACGGAGCCTCCTTTGACCAGTCAATCAAGAACACTTTTCTGTATTGTTCCTCTATTTGCTCAAGGTTTTCCCCCATCAGATGCATGAATGGTAACTCTTGGAATGCTGGTCTGTTCATCTGGTTGAGGACTTTCTGTTGGCTAAGATTACTCAGACGCTGGAAAAGTTGCATCGACTGGGGAGTCGTTTTTCCACTTGCTCCGTTGCCTCCTCTTACATGGATTGGCTGCAAATTTTTATGCTGAGAATACGATATTCTTGTGTCTCTTTACGTTCTTCGGACACTCCAGACAAAAATGCTTTGCATTCAGTTTCAAATTTGAATCCCAGGTCACAGTCCTTGACATCTTTCTTTGAACCATTAGAACAGTCTTTTCCTCAGACTGAAATGGAGCAGACGTAATTCCCTGGACAGTTCATTTGGGTTTGCCTTAGCAGACTGAAAGAGACTATTCACTCTTTCAAACTCTTGTATGATTGGAACAACGAAATGGAATAACAGTCTATTGATTGGGTCTTGAAGCATTTCTTTCAAAAGTCTTGCCTTGTACTTTGAATCAGGCTGTGCATGTAGCTCAGCAATTGTGAAGTAGGCCACAAGTGTGTCCCAGTTGATCAGAATGTTAAACAGCACCTTTCCACGAACTAGCCACCAAGTTTCTGAAGCTCCTAAGAATGGCGTTGGATGTGACTGGTCGCCATCATTGTCGGAGTCTGTGTTCATGACTTTGAACAGCTGCTTAAAACCTTCTCTTCGGAGATTACTATGAGAAAACCAACTCGGAATTTCCTTCAGGAGAATTCCAGGACATAACCAGCCTACTGTCCTGTCCCTGTTTTAAGGAGAAAACAGGGATAGGACAATAAGGTGGCTATGTCCCTTACACAACAGTGTGTGAAGTTGATATAATAAGTCATAATTTATATTACAGATATATTAGACTCATACACCCAGACGTTGTGCCTTCTTGTTCCTCATTTTTTTCCACCCTTTTCAACTCAGGGTGCATTTAGCGCCACTGATTTTGGTAAAGTACTCAAAATGTACTTTAAAAGTACTCAAAAGTACTTTTATAAAAAGTATCGGAGTACAGGAAAAGTACTGGTTTAAAAAATGTACCGGAGTACAGTAAAAGTACCGAAAATTGTAACGTAAGTACAAGTACCGGAGTACTTGTACTCCGTTACAACCAGCTCTGATTACTACATTACTACTTATTAGTCATACAATTCTTTTCTTATCACCTGTTTACTATTATTTGCTGCTTTGCCTTTCTTCTGTATTTCATTATATTATTTAAAAGGGATTTTTGTCCTTTCTACTTGCATAAATT